GGAGAATGCTTGTTTCCAATGAGGCCAACAGGGGAAGCCAGTGGAGTTTCAGGCATTAGCTTGTAGGAGTCGGGGTGGGATCGGGGGACCTGGGAAGTCTTAGATTCTCTCCTGCACCCACCACCCCACCCCCGCCTGGTGTCATTCACGGAGCCTGGAGTCATGAGAATCAGCTGTGGGTCCCTGGGAAGAGGGGCTTCAGAGGCTGTTGGCTTTACCCCTGCTCCTCACTATGCCCCCCCACCTACCTGGGCATCTTAGGGCAACACCTCCTGCGTGTTGCCCCAACTGGCTTTATTTTCCGGGGGCGGGGGATTGTTCTTCATTTTTAAAAAATATATTCTTGCTTCAAAAATAAATTACAGACTCCTGGGTGATGCAGCAGGTTAGCTATTGAGCTGTTCCTGTGAGGTCAAATCCACCAACATTTCTGAAGGAGAACAGTGAAACTGTCTGTCCACGTCATGACTTGCAGCCTCAGAAACTCTGGGAAGCAGGTCTACTCCCACCGATAGGGTCACTGGGACTCAGAACGGACTTGAGGGGAGAGGGAGGTTTTCCTGGACAATAACACTTACTTTAGAGATAAGGAGTACCCCGTTGTGGGGCAGGGGGGGGGGGAAGCAAAGCTTCCCCCACAGAAGGAGTGGGTTCATGGAGATAATACCTGATGCAAGGGTTTATAGGGGCTGGGGGTGGGGATGAGAGATAGTGAGGGTGAGGCTATTTGGCAAGCAAACAATGAGCATGGAAGGTAGGAGGGGGCACTAGAACTGGTTGTGATTATACAAATCATTTGCAAGGCCATTTAACCATGGAATTATATGATATGTGAATACAATATCAAGAAAAACATGGGGAGGGGGGAGAAATCAAACTTGACCAATGGTTACCATAGGTGAAGGGGAAAGAGTTGCTGCATTTCGGGGCATTGAGTTTATGTCAGTGGTGGGAAGGCAAGGAGGAACAAAATTCTGAATCCTCCAAGAGACCCTGTGGAAACCGCAAGGTCAGGGCCTTTCGTCAGCCCTCAGGTCCAGAAACGGAACTCTCCCGGTGTCTCAAGTTGCAGCCAAGCAATGTAGCAGTCTCTCAGGGCACCCAGAGCAAGATCAATCATTGAAGATTCAAAAAGGCAACATCGCTCAAGGACAAAGCTCAGAAAGGTTAGGAAAGAATGAGAAATGGAAACAGAACACAGGGAGGAAGTGGTGCTACAATGTTGCAATGGGATGATACAATGGGATCGTGGTCAATGAGATGGAGGCGGGGAAAGTCTATGACGCAATGCCCAAAGCGGACATTCTTCCCTCGTTAAACAAAAGTATCCTTAGCCAAGGAGAGGAGCCTTCCTACTCCTGTGGAGACTTCCGGACCCAGAAACCCACAGGGGCAGTTCTACCCAGTCCTGTAGGGTCACTGTGAGTCAGCATCGACTCCATGGCCGTGGATTTTGGGTTTTGCTTTCTTGTTGGGCAACCACATTCCTTTCTGGTTTCCGGGAACATCCCACGTCTTTCTGCTCTCCACGTTTCCTTTCATTCGCTCTGGTTTCCTTGACATCAAAGGGTCCCCTGCCCTCTGGAGGTTCAAAGTCCACCACTTTCAAACTCCAGCTCCAGTGCCAGCTTCTCCAGAGGCTCCTCTGATGGCCCTCGCCAAACATAGCAGCCCCCACCTCAGAGAGGGTTGACTTGCCCATGCGCCCTTCCCACACTCGGTGCATCCTCCCCACAGTCACAGATGCCCATCTGCCACGTCGTTGGTATTCACTCCACTAGTGATTATGTACTGAGCTGCTAACCGGGGAGGCCAGCAGTTCAAAACCACCAGTCGCTGCAAGGGAGAAAGACAAGGCTTTCTACTCCCACAAAGAGTTAGTTTCAGAAACTCACAGTGGCAGTTCTACCCTGTTCTACAGGCCCACTATGAGTCGGCATCAACTTGACCGCAGTGAGTTTGGTTGGGGTTTTATCGTGGATTACGTCTGGTAGAGAGAAACCTGTGTGAGCCGGAAACCCATGGGCCAGCCTGTCTTCCGCACGTCTCTCCGTTTTCCACCTCTGACAGGTGCAGTCTCATCACTTTGCTCTCTCTCTCTCACTCTGTCTTCTTTTAGTGGAAAATATTTGTTTGTGTGTTAGTCCAGGTAGACTAGAGAAACAAATCCATAAACATGCATATATGTATCGGAAGGAGCTTTATATACAAGAGGAATTGAATATGGAGAAAACATCCCAGCCTAGTCCAGATCAAGTCCATAAGTCCGATATTAGCCCATTATGACTGATACCAATCTATAAACTCCTCTTCAGACTCATGAAACACATGCAATGATGCTGAATGCAGGAAGATCACAGGTCAGTGGGTGGGAAGTCTTGTGGATCCAGTGGTGTTGTAAGTATCTCAGCGCTGGCAGGGGTCTCCACTTGGTTCCTCCGGCTCCTGGGGTTCTGGATGCATCAGGGTAACTTCATGTGGCTTCTCGGCAGAAATGTCTCCCAGGGAGTGAGTCAAGAGAGAGCATGTCTCCGCCTCCTAGGAGGAATGCCGGAGTTCCCAGAATCTTCAGGAGAAGGCCAGGCCCACCCAGAGGCCTCATTGGCTGTCACCTGATTGACAGGCTAGACTCCACCCCTTCACTCTTAATCCTCTCAAACTGACACAGTTTGGTTGGTTGGTTGGTTTTGCTTTTCTGAGTGGAAAAGTATTTGTGCTTTCACAGGTGCTGGATTCCGAACCCTGTGCCGTGGAATCCTTTAGGCACCTGGAGGTTACTCTTGGACAAATTGTTGTCAAGGATAGAATTTTCCTTAAGAAAAAGAACATTCTAACTTTGGGTGCTGTTTCTGTTGAATCACTGCACTGATGTCAACGATGGATTTATTATTATTATTATTAATACTTCCTACGACTTGAATGATGAAGCATCCCGGAGCTCTGGCACACAGCAGCTCCTGGTGACACCTCCTGTGTTCCGTGAAGTTGTCAGCAGCTGGTCTTTCAGGAGTCACCCGCCAGGCCTTTCTTCTGAGGCACCACGTCGACTCAAACCTCCAACCTTTCCGTTAGTGGCCAAGCACGTTAGCCCTTTACCCTGAGCTCCCATATTCCCAGGGACACCGTGCCCCCCAGCAAGTCCATTCCTGCCCCCAGCGCCTCTGTAGGACAGACTGGCACTGCCCATCGCATTCCAAGGCTGTGCGTCTGGACGCTAGCAGACCGCCTCATCTTTCACCTGCGAGCAGCTGGTGGGCTTGCACTGCCAAACATTTGGGTTAACCCCTACGTCACCAGAGCTCCTGCATCCTCCTCAGAGGCGGATACCAAGGTCTAGGTCTAACTGTACACGGGAATATTGAAAACTAGTTAAGTCGGGTGGGGGTGGGTGCAAACCAAAAACTCCAGGGGATGGAAAACAGCCAGTATTCCACCTTACCTAAAAATTGTGATGGGATATTTTGTGAGAACTCGGGTGAGCAATGGAGTTTGAGGATGAAAGTGCGTTCGGTTTGCTTTAAGTTTCGATGTCAAGGATCTGATCATGTCCATCAGCCCCGGGTGCCTCTTACTTCAGGCCCTGTCAATAGGTCTGTTCAGAAAGTCACTCACAACATCCTGGGTGTCACTTCAGAGAAGTGTGTCCAATGTCCCTGAGCTTGTCTGTTGCTACAGCCTGCAGTCACAAAGCCCCTTAGCTTCTCTGCTGTTCAGAGCCATAAGGCTGGATTACCGTCCCTGGCTAGTTCCCTCCCAGGAATGAAAGCTACCTTTCCTGGAGGAAAAGAAAGCATCGGGGCAGAAGCAGCTCTACCTGCGGCCTTTGCTGTTATCTATTTTTAACTGGTTGCTGCGTGCCTGTAATGCACACCCTCAGTCAGGTTATGAAGTTTACATGTGTTCACGAAAACAGAACCTGGGGGGCAGGATGGGGTGTTAAGGTAAAAGGGAGCTGATGTCAAGGAGTTTAAGAAAGAAGAGAATGTTCTGAAACGGATTGTGGCCAAGCAACTGTACGGCATTGCTTGACGTGATTGAACTATGGAACAATATGATATCTGTGTTAGCTCCCAATAAAGTAGTTTGGGAGAAAAGAAAAAGAGACAACAGAACTGGCTGGTGGCATCATTTTATCAATGGATAAAAACCACTACTAGCCCCTGCCTTTATGCCTTATTATGATTATTATCTGACCTTTGTAATGACTCAGTGACTGTGTGGGTGCATCAGCCGCTCTGAAGTGTCTGCTAGCTTGTCAGCCACTTCCATCACCTACCGACAGATCGGATTCTGCAGTCAGGACACAGAAAGCGGAGGTCTGTACCTCCCCAGCCAGGTAAGCCCAGAAAGAGAATCACCTTTGGCTCCCCAAATCCAGGCTCACATACTCAGGCTCAGGCATCTGGGGCCTGAGCCACCTGCATGGCATCCCCAGACCCGTACTCCAGGTTCTTCACAGAGGTAGACCAGCCTCTCCAAATCTCTCTTGTGAGTCGCCCTATGTCCACGGGGTCTCAGGAGAATGGTGGAGAAAATGGGATGAAAAGATCATGGGACTGGCCCACAAACTTTTGAAAGCCTCTTCATTTATGTGTGTGTGCGTGTGTGTGTGTGTGTGTGTGTGTGTTCTTATTGTTGACATGGCCATGCTATGAAAAGAAACTATTTATCCCCAATGAAACAATGTTTTTAAAAAAGAGAATTGTACGAGCTCCCAAGAAAGTGATTTTTTTAAAAAGAAAAGAAACTATTTTAATCACTGTCCAGCAAAACAAACAGACATCCCAAAGAAACACACATAGTTTTCAAAAGCTGTCAGAATGAGCTTCAACCATAAGAACTTGGCCTAATGCGGCCGCCCACCCCATGACCCTCCCTGTTTCACCGTGTACTGCTCCATAGGGAAGCAGTCGGCCCTGTTCCCTGTTGGGGGAAGTCCACGACACAGTCCACTCATGCACGGCCGTTCCCTGTGTACAAACCAGAGTCTTCCTACTTACTTTCAGGACGCTGTCCGAGAACCGTCACGGGAGGGTGGACTCGGCGTGGTCAGGTGAGGCATGGATGGGGCGGAGGGTCCTGGCCCCGGGACAGGAATTCAAGGAGTCACAGGGTCTATTCCACAGACGGGTCACAGCACCGTTAGGACTGTCTCCAGGCGAGCAACTGTCTTCCCAAGAGGAAAAAATGCCGTGTCTGGGAGAAAGTTCTGGAAGAAAAACATGCCCCCCCAGCACCCCCTGCCCTTGAATGCACCAGGTCACTGCTGAAGCGGCAGCTATTTTTCAGCATCGCTGTGGATGGAACTTGAGGGCTGTTTCTCCGTAGGTGTGACACTCACTGGTGACACTGGGGAGAGCCTGGCACAGGGGCCGGGACATGCAGGCCCAGCAGCAAGCTGACGAAACCCAGACGGTGGCTGTCACAGACTGCCGTCACCCACTGCCGTCACCCGTCACCCACTGCCAGGGAGAGCAGAGGCAGCAGCTCGCTGCTCCCTCCCGAAAAGCACTGCCTTGCCGCTGGCTGCCGTAATCAGGGCCATGCAGGGGGGTCGGAAATTTGAAGTGCACATGGGAAAGCCGCGGAGGGTAGAGGGGGTGCAAATCCGAGTCAGGTGTTGTTCTCGGAGAACCGGCCTGACAGTCGTCCTTGGAGGTTCTCTGAGAAAAGCAGGAGCCACAGCAAGGCAGGATCCCTCCTCACCCTCAACATGCACGGGCGCCACACCCATGTTCTCTCTCTCTCTCACACACACACACACACACACACCCATCATCTCGCTCCTCTCTCTCTCACA